TTTCTCTCTGTCTCTCTCTCTCACTGTCCACTCTGCCTGTCAAAAAATAAATAAATAAATAAAATGAAAGATAATTGTAAGAAATTAAAAGAATAATAAAAGGAGAAGGAGGGTAGGGTAAGAATATCACCATACTCCCAAATCTGTATGTATGAAATACATGAAATTTGTTCACATTAAAATTTTTTTTAAATAATTAAAAATTTAAAAAATTTGGAAGTTCACCCTTAAACAGACGTTTAGACACGTTCAGAGGGCAGGACAATACGACACGGGTTATTTGTAAGAATTACATCAGGAAAGAGAAGCAGAGATTTCCTCCCCTTCCCTTCCTTTCTCTCTTTTTTTCTGTATAAATCTTAGAGTTCACATCATTTCATCTCTTGAAACTTAGTATTTCTAAAAAGATACACATACTCTGACAGAATCATACCACTGTCATAGCAACAAATATAGCATTTATTTATAAGCAGCAGTCTCAGAAATGTCATTTTATAGTTTTTATTTAAAATTAGGAATCAAAGGGGACTCTTGCTTAGATTCAGGTGGAACACGTTACTCCTGCCGAGATGTTCCTTGTGGGCTCTGTGTAGTTCCTGTAGCCGCGCTGTGGGAAACGCATGTTTGGGTTCCCCGTCTGCCGAGGCCAGGACTGGTCAGTGGGCTCCGCTTGTACCCGTCTGGCCCCTCCTGCGCTGTTGTCCATCAGTCTTTTGTCTGATGGTTTTGTCCGCTGCTGGTCTTTGATCAAATCAGATCATTCACTGGGGGTGGAGCGGGGGCAGGATGATTTTCCCACAGCCAGTCTCTGAACATTTATTAGCTCTGATTGGTTTACAAAGAGGATGCTTCTCCCTACTGAGCTGTTCTAAAATCCAGTTTCAAGAGGGCATCAGATTAGTCCACTTAAGCCTTGGGGACAAATACGAGAGATATAGTTAATAGGTTTTCAATAATTAAGAAAACTCATTAGACTGATGGCAATAATAAATGTCTTTTCTTAAAAGATTTTATTTGAGAGAGAGAGAGAGAGGTCTTCCATTTGTTGGTTCACTCTCCAGATAGCCACAACAGCTGGAGATGGGTCCATCCGAAGCCAGGAGCCTCTTCTGGGTCTGCCACACGGGTGCAGGGGCCCAAGGACTTGGGCCATCTTCTACTGCTTTCCCAGGCCATGGGCAGAGAGCTGGATTAGAAGAGCGGCAGCTGGGACACGAACTGGTACCTATATGGGATGCTGGCATCACAGGTGGAGGCCTAACCTACGATGCCACAACACCAGCCCCAAATGTCTTTTTATTAAAAAGGAAATAAAGGGCTGGCTTCCTACTATGCAGTCAGTGCCTACTCTGCTCCAGACAAATGCTTCCCATTAGAAATACAAAGTGAGCTGCACATGCAAGCTACAGATGTAATTTTGAATTTATTAGCCACCCTTAGAGGCAAAAAGAAGCAGGGGAAATTAATTATAATAAGGTGTTTAACCCAATACATCTAAAATATTATTGATCCCATGGGTAATCATTATAAAATTATCAGGGTACCTCAAATTACTTTCTCACAACAAATCTTCAGAAGCCAGCCTGTGTTACACTTGTAGCCCATCTCACCTCGGGCAGGCCACATTTCAAGTGCTCAGAACCACCTGTGGCTGGTGGCTAACGTACTGGACAGTGCTACGGTAGACATTTCATTCATTCGCTTTCATCCTCACAAGAGCTTTGGAGGTGAGGCATCATGCTGTGCCCAGCGTGAAGCTGAGGTTCGGGAAGGCTGACTTTCTTGCCGTCTGACCAGTGAAGGCCGCAGTGGGCCGACTGTAGATATACAGGGTGTCTACAGGTGCTGCGTCTGGACCTCCTAACTCACAGGAGCTTTGCTCCCTCTTCCGCGCTGCCAGATTCCACCAGTTCAGGGTCTCACCCCTTTCTTCTCAAGTACTTTCTCATTTATAGATCACACCCCTCTCAACAGGCCGACAGCCCACCCATCTGTGCTGAACTGTACGAGGTTCCTCGGCACCTTCCACTCCCTTCCTGCATTCTCTGATCCATCGCCAGCAGACTCCTCAACAGTCCGCATTTCGCCAACCCCACCGCCCTGTGGCCACGTCATGCCACCTGACATGCTGGACACCTGGAATGACCTCCTGAATGCTCTGCTCAGGTACCCGCTGCCTCTCTCCAGGTCCAGTGAGCAGCCAAGTAGTCTTGTCAAAACATGCATCCGATCACGTCCCTGCTCTGCTCTCAATCCTTCCGTGATGAAGAGAGGCTGGTCTGCAAACGCTAGCATACGCTGGTTCTCGCCACTGTGCCAGCCCTGTCTCCTCAGACTTCGTGCACCAAGTACTTTAGCTTTCCCACCACAGGGCCTTTGCTTACGCTGTTTCTGCTGCAACGTCCAGGTCTCCTCACTCTTGTACTGCTGCTGTTTTGGAGTAGATCCTTTGTTTTAGGGGGGTTGACCATTCATTGTGGATTGTACAGCAAGCATCCCTCCTAGTTATTCCCCATCCATGTGACAACCAAAAATACTTCCGGTGATTGACAGATGCCCCCCAATTTGAGCAGTTGACCTAGAAAGACTTTCTTCTTCTCTGCCTATCAAGTTCAGAAGTCACTTTCTTAGGGACCCTTTCCTGAATTTAGGTTAGATTAGGTCTCTCCAGTTAATTTATGACTATGTGGCAATTATTATGTTTAGCAATACTTACCCCATTCTCTGAGTTGGAGAACTCTGGAGTGGACCAGTCTGTTCACTGCTGAGGACAAGGACCACGGCCACCCACACACACCTCTGTAGTCCCAGTGCCCATGAGGTCTACTGGCACATAAGACCTAATATTTTGTTTTTTTTTTTTTTTCTGCTAAATCAGAATTTCACAATTATCATGTGTTTCAGAAACACAGACCAGTGAAGTAGAATCTCATCATTTTGAAAGACCTAATATTTGTTAGACAAAAACAAACACATGTATTTAAGGCCATATCTCCAAACAGAATACTTTTTTCTTTAAAGATTTATTTTATTTATTTGAAAGGCAGAGTTACGGAGAGAGGGAGAGTCAGAGAGATCTTCCCATCTGCTGGTTCACTCCCCGAATGGCTGCAATGGCTGGAGCTGAACTGATCCAAAGCTAGGAGCCAGGAGCTTTTTCTGGGTCTCCCACATAGGTGCAGAGGCCCAAGCACTTGGGCCATCCTCTGCTGCTTTCCCAGGTACAAAAGCAGGGAGCTGGATGGGAAGTGGCGCAGCTGGGACTCGAACTGGTATCCATGTGGGATGTGGGCACTGCAGGCAGTGGCTTAAACCATTAGGCCACAGTGCCAGCCCTGACCCTCTTTCAAAAACCCAGTCTAGGGGCCAACACTGTGGCACAGCAGGTTATGCCACTGCCTGCAACGCTGATATCACAAATGGGTACGGGTTCAAATCTCAGCTGCTCCTTTTTTTTTTTTTTTTTTTTTGACAGGCAGAGTGGACAGTGAGAGAGAGACAGAAAGGTCTTCCTTTGCCATTGGTTCACCCTCCAATGGCCGCCGCGGCCTGTGCGCTGCAGCCGGTGCACCGCGCTGATCCAATGGCAGGAGCCAGGTGCTTATCCTGGTCTCCCATGGGGTGCAGGGCCCAAGCACTTGGGCCATCCTCCACTGCACTCCCTGGCCACAGCAGAGAGCTGGCCTGGAAGAGGGGCAACAGGACAGAATCCGGCACCCCGACCGGGACTAGAACCCGGTGTGCCAGCGCCACAAGGCGGAGGATTAACCTAGTGAGCCGCGGCGCCGGCCAGCTGCTCCTTTTTTAATCCAGCTCCCTGCTAATGTGCCTGGGAAAGCAGCAGAAGATGGCCCAAATAATTGAGCCCTTTACCCAATAGAAGTACTACAAAGAAGCTCCTGGCTTCTGGTATTGGCCTGGCCCAGCCCCAGCCATTGTGGCTATTTTGGGCGTGAACTTGCAGATGAAAGATCTCTGTCTCTCTTTCTCTTGTAATTCTGGATGTTCAAACAAAATAAATCTTTATTTTTTATTTTTTTTAAAGATTTATTTATTTATTTGAAAGAGTTACACACAGAGAGTTGAGACAGAGAGACGTCTTCCATCCACTGGTTCACTCTTCAATTGGCCACAATGGCCAGAGCTGCGCTGATCCGAAGCCAGGAGCTTCTTCTGGGTCTCCCACGTGGGTGCAGGGTCCCAAGGACTTGGGCCATCCTCCACTGCTTTCCCAGGCACAATAGCAGGGAGCTCGATTGGAAATGGAGCAGCTGGGACTCGAACCAGCGTCTATATGGGATGCTGGCGCTGCAGGTGGCAGCTTTGCTTGCTACGCCACAGCGCTGCTCTCCCCCCTGCCCCCCCCCATCCCCTTATTATTTCTTAAACATTTTTTTTTTGAGAGGCAGCGAGATGGAGATCTCCCATCTGTTTGGGTCACTTCTGTAATGCTGGGGGTGCAATCCAGGTCTCCCACTAGGGAGGCAGGACCCGACTACTTGAGCCATCATCTGCTACCTTCCAGGGTCTGCATTCACAGGGAGCTGGAGTCAGGAGCCAGAGCCGGGAACTGAACTCGGGCACTCCAATGAGGGGACATGCATGTCGTCACCGACGGTGCTAAGACTTGCTCTGCTGCTCCCCGTTATTACTAACAGGTTTTATTTCATCAAGTAATGAAAACACTGAAATGCAAGACAGCCAAAGCAGTGGCGGGCCGAGATCAGCTTTCCCCTTCCGTCCTGTTAGGAAGGACAGCAAAGAGAGCGGCTGCCTCATGATGGGAAAAGACGGAACGGGGGCTACGTGCTGCACTCCCCAAATCCGGAGATCAGAGACCTCCTCCAACAGCCATCAGACTAATGGTGCTTCCTCTGCAAAGCTGAGAGACAGAGCCATGGAAGCCGAGGGAATCTGTTCTGCAGGCGGGAGTCCAGCTCTGCAGGTCTCCACCCGACACCAAAGTTTTAGAACTGCAGGGGGAAAAAGACCTGGAAGGGGCTTGTACAAGAAACCTCATTTTTTCTTTACTCTCGAAAGAAATTTGCTTTAAAAAAAAAATCAACAGCGCATGCAGTGCATGTATCACTGGCTGAACCAAGTATCATGGATCATAACTAATAAGACAGCCCCTGCCCCAAGAGAGCCATCAATTGTTACTGTTTTGAAACTGTTTTGGAAATGTTTGAAACACAGCACTTACTTTCTGATGTATCACAACCACCGGCAGATACAATGACTGAATTATGAGGCTCCACAGATTTCCCCCGACAAATGCGTGTAGAGAAACTCATCGCACTGTGGATCTCGTCACCCCATTCTCCGAACCCCGATAGTTCTATTAAGTGAGATCTGTGACCAGGAAAGATGCACTGGTCATTTGGACTTCACCCTCAGGGAGAAGAGGACACCACATTCACTCACTTGAAACACATCTTTAAGAAGGCAATGCGATATTTTTGTGCCAGTTTGTGTAATAATTTTACTGCACAAGAAATCACAGAGATTGCATAAATACCATATAGACAAGAGTTAAATAAAACAAAAGGCTGTTTTATTCTGATCAAATAAAACGAGAATAACTCAAGGCTTACAATACCAGTGACTTCCCGAATGTGGCTCCTTTTGAGAGAAAATTGACCTCTTGCATTTTCTAAGTACAGTAATATCCATTAAGCAAAATGAAAAATTGCTTTGCAGTTAAAAATACCAAAAAGCAACTTACATATTTGTGTAGCCCTCTTAGCAGCAAATATAACAAACAACAAGGATGTCAGGTTGCCTGCTCTTGCCTGAAGCACGGCTGGAATTTTTAGTGACAGTGACAATTTACGTAGAACATTACATACTCTCCCATGTACTGCAACCGCAGAAACGAGAATACAAAATAATAGATGGTACAGGAGATGACTTCTTTCTTTGGGGGAACAGAAATGCTAGACATTAAAATTTCTTCAGTCACCTATTTGCCCTGTGTCAATGCATAAAAATACAAATAAATATCTGCTTACAAATGAAGTTCATAGTATACTGTTATAAAAAAATTTAAAAAAATCAAAAATCTTATTTTACGTTTTTGTCATTAAATAAAAATGCTAATATACAGACATACTTGATACTGATATCAATTCTGGGAGTTGGTGTTTCATTTCTCCGTCATGATCATGGTATAACAGTGCTAATACACAGACGACAAGACTCACATCCCAAACGCAGGTTTCATTTTACTAAAAGTCACTCAAGATGCTTTTTTCTCTTTTTCTGTTTAATTAAAAAAGATTCATGTTTTGGCATTTTAGAATTACATTTGAAGTTGTCTGAAAAAATACAATTTGAATGCAAAAACCGTATCAGGCATTCGAGAATATATTGCTGGTGCTTTAATCTTTTTGCATGTCTCTGTTTTCATAGAAAAAAAAATCCAATAAAATAAACACGTCTAAGATTTTCCATCATGTTAACAAGATGTCTCATGCACACAAACTCAAAAAGCGAAGGGACGGGGGTCAGACGTCTTTCTTCTGCATTTGTCCTAGCTTTCTTCTTAGGAGGCTGTAGTTCTCCTTAGTTCCCGAAGCCCCAGGGTCGAGCTGCAGGGAGATTTCGTAGTGTTTCTTGGCTAAGCTGAGATGTCCCCAGCGATGATACAGCACAGCTGAAAAAGCAGGAGGGGCAGCTCACTGGAGCGCTCGGGGCAGCGTGCAGCCTTCCCCAGCCCTTACACGAAGAGTTACTGGGAACCCTTGGCCAAGGGTTTCCAACAGTCAGTGTTTACAAAAGCAATGCTTGTACCACAAACTTTGTTGACTGTAATTACAGTATTCCCTGGGGGTCGTCTGTTTACCTGCTGTCAGGGACTCCCAGGGTGCATGGCAGCGTTAGACGGGAACACCTGCCTTCAGCAACATGCTCACTAAGGGCACGCAGGAGAGGGCCTTCCACGTCTCAGTGTGGCCATCAACTTGCCAGGAAGCCAGGCTGGAAGGGACGGGGCTGTAGGTGCTGCCTGGAGAACTGACTATGCACAAGTCTGTTTATTTTTAAGGATTTATTTATTTTGAAAATCAGAGTTATGGATACAGGGAGAGACAGAGAGAGAGAGATTTTCCACACAGGAGTTCACTCCCAAAAAGGCCTTAAAGGCTAGTAAGGGCCAGGGGCTTCATCCAGGCCTCCCATGTGGGTGCAAGGGCCCAAGCACTCGGGCCATCTTCTGCTGCTTTCCCAGGCCATTAGCAGGGAGCTGGATCGGGAGTGGAGCAGCCAGGCCTTGAACAGGTGCCCATAGGGGATGCAGGTATCACAGGGGGCAGCTTTACCTGCTACACCACAGTGCTGGCCCCTGTTTATCTTATTTTTTAAAAGTATTATGAAGAAGCCATTTTCGTTATTTTAAAAATTTGAGGGCAGAGACAGAGAGACAGAGAAATCTCCCATCTAGTAGTTCACTTCCCAGATGCCTGCAACAGCTGGGGCCTCGCCACTTGGAAGCCAGGAACTGGAAACTCAATCCAGGTCTCCCACAGGGTGAGCTACCGCCTGCTGCGTCCCCAAGTACGCTTCAGCAGGAGGCTGGAATTGGAGTGAAGCTGGCACTTGAACCCAGGCCTGAGAAGTGACAAGGGTATCTGAACAGCCAGCCTAAATGCTTGCCTTGCCATTTATTTATTTATTTTTTTGGACAGGCAGAGTGGACAGTGAGAGAGAGACAGAGAGAAAGGTCTTCCTTTCCCATTGGTTCACCCCTCAATGGCTGCTGCAGCCGGTGCACCGCGCTGATCCGAAGCCAGGAGCCAGGTGCTTCTCCCGGTCTCCCATGTGGGTGCAGGGCCCAAGGACCTGGGCCATCCTCCACTGCACTCCTGGGCCACAGCAGAGAGCTGGAGTGGGAGAGGAGCAACCGGGACAGAATCCGGCGCCCCGACTGGGACTAGAACCCGGGATGTCGGGGCCGCAGGTGGAGGATTAGCCTAGTGAGCTGGTGCCGGCCGCCATTTGTTTTAAATAAAGATTTCCCTACACCTCTGGCAAAGGAGGAGCTTGTATGTTGCCGGGTGGAAATAAAGGCTGCTGTACCAAGAAGTGATCACAAGATGACAGTTACAATCAGCCTCGGTATTAGCATAATGAGCCCCTGACTGCTGTGAGGACTTCGTAAGTAAAACTTCTGTATGGGCGGAAGAGCGGCTGGTGCGGTTCCCACTTTTCTGATGAGAAGCTCTGAAGTCGTGGGGAGCAGGTGAGGGAAAGCAATTTGTATGGCTGAGCACTCAAACCATCAGCGCGCTGTGCTCTAAGTGCCCTAACCACAGGGATGTGAAGACGGAAGGACGGAGTGCTGGGGAATAAATCTTTGCAAGTGCATCTGTAGCCAAACCAGTTTTTTTTTTTTTTTTTTCCTTTTTTGGCAGTGGTGGTGGTGGGGTTCTTTCTTTCTGGACAGAGGAGGGAAAACGAGGCAAGCTGGCCAACAAACTTCCCAAGTACCTTGCAGCCCGACAGGCTAGGATCCTTCACGCCAAGAAGGAAACTCTGAATTTTAACCCTAAAAAGGTGATAATGTGAGTGAGCAATTTTCAGGGCTGTTCTGGTGTTGCAGTTACAACTTGTAAGTGTGACTGTGAACAGCCACCTTTTAAAATGTAATAATACCACCACATTCTTTAAGGTTTGTGATCTGTTTTGTAAGAGATGATTTGTGAGGCAGAGAGAGAGAGAAAGGGAAGAGTGAGTGAGTGAGTTCCTTCATTTGCTTGTTCATTCCCTAAATGGCCAGGGCTGGGCCAGGGCTGAGGGTCAGAGCTGGGAACTCAGTCCAGGTCCCCCATGTGGGTGGCAGGGTCCCGATTACTTGAGCCAACACTGCTGAGCCCAGGATCTGCATTAGCAGGAAGCTAGAGCCAGGAGCCAGAGCTGGGAAGTGAACCGGGCATTTCAATTTGAGACGAGGGCATCTTAACCACTAGGCCAAATGCCTGCTCCCATCAGACCATATTTAGGACCAGATTATGAAGAGCAAAGAAGGCTAGCCTTGGAGAAAAAACCACCCTCCCAACATTGAGTTTACAGAATTATGCTCATTTCATTACAGTTCCACAGGATTTCGGTATAGTTCAGATTGAAACTTTTCCTTACCCAAATTACCATGGTAACTTGCAGCATTTGGATTTGCCTTAATTGCCTTGAGGAATAAAGCTTCAGATTCCTAAAAAAAATGAAATACATATAAAAGGTATGGTACACGAAGCAAAAGTGAGCCAGAGCTTCCTGCCTGTGGTTTGCAAGCATCTGATGTCCTCGGTGTGCCAACTCTGCTCAGAAGAGGTTCTGAAGGGCCAGCAGGAAGCCAAGGGGACAAGAGCGAGAGGAAGGGGACAGGAGTGCACTGGTGACTGAGGGAGGGGAAGGACATGCTCATGGCGGCCACCACCTGCCTGCCGGAAGTGGCTGAGGCTTCGCAGCTTGAAGCAGGGTGCTGGGTTCAGGGTGCTGTGGAAGATGAGCAAAGATCAAAGAACGGAACAGGTCTGGCTGAAGATACCTGTGAAGGTGCCATTCTCTCTGGCCTCAATGAACTCATCTCCAGGACTCGCAAGGCAGGAATGGGGGCCTATTTAACCTCCCCCAAGATCCTGCTCGACCCTCAGCAGCCAGAGCTCGCAAGACTGCACAGCAACAGTGAGGAAACGGCCAAGCTATCACCATTGTGTACATGACTGTGACCAAATGCCCAGTGTGTCAGAACTCATTCCCATATAGATCTGCATTTCCCGTCACTATGGGGCAGGACAACCTGTCTTCCCACTGATCACGTGGCCCCCTTCTACCATTATGCTGTGAAACCAAGATGGCCCCAAATGCTCTGGGGGGGCCGCTATTCACTGCACCTGCACCGTGTTCCTGAAGGGTCAAGGTTTTAATCCACCAGTGTCAGACTCTGGGCTTTGACAGCCAAGGTGTCTGTGTCCACTGTGAGTTGGGCAGGTGGGCTTCCCGCCTGCAGCATCATGGTCTCATCACATCATGACCACCCGTGCCTTTGCTGTCATGCTACTCCTGCAGAGCAGGCTGGAAACATGGGCACACACCTGCGAAACCACAACCTTTTACACAGAACTGGCAGAGAGAAATGTAAATTTTAGCAATGACATCCGAGGGGGACGGAGAAAAGACCTGGGGGTGACACATGGCGCGTCAGCTCGGAGGCAGAATCTGCATCCCAACTCCCCTCCAGGAAGTCCCAGGTCTTCCATTTAAAACCTTGAACTCGAGAAAGAGAAAGGCCAGGAAACTGAAATCTACCTCTGGCTGCATGCAAACGAAACCTGCAAATCTACCTCTGGCCTCCCTGCAGATGAAGCCAAGTAAACCAGACAGAGCTGGTTTAGAACTGACCGGCGGGCTCGGAGGAGCCCAGTGCGTGCAGACTCCCGTCTTTCATCCTTCACCTGGGCGACGAGGAGCCGCAAGGACACTGGCACCGAGGGCAGGAGGCGCTTGGGTTTACGCCTCGTTACAGGGCACCTATCCCCGGTGGAGCTGCAGGAGGATGCGGAGGCTGGACAGGGAGGAATGGGTTCAGGGAGAACAGGCAGAAAGCAGCGGACCCGGGAGACAACAGGGGAGCAAACAGAGTGAGTTGTGCAGCCCAGGGGATGGGATGGCTGCAGGTGGACAAGGGATGGTGGTAGAGGCAGAGCTGGCTCGGGGGAGGTGAGCACGGGCTGGCGGGGCGGCCTTGACCATGCTTTTCAGCTGCCTGGGGGAAGGGCCGGGGGCCTGGGCAAAGCTCGCGCGGGGCTCCAAGGCCCAGGGAAGGCTCCGCTGCTGAATCTGACTTTTCTCTCGCCCTGAGCTGCAGGCATCCTCGGGCTTCACAGCCCGGCAGTGAGCCGATTCACGCCTACGAACACGTGAACTCACCTTTGAAATCGAGGTGTTTCCATGCTCAGCAAGGGAAAACGGCACTTTCTGAAGTGCGTTAGACGAAAGGCAGGTGACAAGGTTTTGGGCTGACAGCGACCTCGCCAGCGAGGTCTCTAAGGCAGGGCGGGGCGTCCTGTCTCAGCAGGGGAGAAGTCAGCCAGGCAGTCCCCAGGTGTGGCATGAATGCCTCGCCTTTGGGAGACTGCTCTGAGCCCACAGGACTGGCAGCAATTCAGAGAGAAGTCCCAGGGCCGGCAACCATGCCAGCGCGGTAAAGCATCAGTTTGGCAACCTCTGCGGGAGGTTAGGCAGAGCGCCACCTGCAGGCCCCCCGAGGAACACACTGAGGCCAGGAGCCGGGAAGTCACTGCTGTTGGGTCAACAGGGCTGCTCGGATAAGAACAAAGGCGCCCTGGAACCACAGACCTAACAGGACGCTCAGTGTGCACATCAAAGGCTCAGAAGACGCTCCAGAGGTCTCAACACTTAGGATCAAGGGAGAGAGGCTCAGCACAACTACTAACGGGGCTTCACACCTGCCTGTCTCCATGCCGGCCAGCCATGGAGACACACACAGGACTGGGACGGGGTCCCGACCTCCAGCAGCCCAGAGATTGGGCAGGGTAATGACAAAATCAAACAGCCAGCGCTCAGGTGAAAAGCGCCAGACAGCACAGCCTGCCTGGCAGATAGCTGGTCTGGAGGGCTGGCCACTGCAGCCCGCAAGTCACCCCATGTCCCCTCCACAGCACCTGCACGGGCCTCTGCAAGGAGACCCACCTCGCACAGGTCTTGGGTCAAAGATTCCAAGTCGGCAAGCATGGGACCCCCAGCCGGGGCACATCCTGACGAGCTCACAGCCAGGGCCTTCTGACGGATTTTGGCAATTAAGAAACCAAATAGGCAGAAAAATGGGACACCAGTTCCTGGGTCCCGCTCTATGGAGCATTTCCTGCTGTATCTGCAGATCAAAGGCCGGCATGACCTGGGAGCCCAGCGCACTGGGATCTGGCCCCGTCTTACAAATTCCAGTTCAGAGAGCGTGGGCTCACGGGGCCATCAGCACAATGCACTGCACCCTGGACGCTCACTGTAGCCGGGTCTCTGGTGGAGAACGGAGCTCCCAAACCCTCCTAGCCTGGAAAGACCATTGGAGAAGACCCTCAAGTTCAACCGCAAACTCTCCACCTCCCTCCACACGAGTACATCCCCCCCCCAAAAATAAAACCGGACCCCTCAGGAAGCCGTCTCTGGAGCAAAACCGAGAACTGCTGAAATGCACATCACACTCCCTGGCATTCCACTTGCAGAAGGCAGGACAGGCTTCACCAGGGCTATGGGAAACGACACCAACTGTGATGTCTAATGAAGAGAATAATAAGTAACACCAAACGGGTGCTAACCAGTCACCCCTTTAGGCCCCGTAACTTCTCTGCAGCCTCAGGGTGACCCAACCATACAGAGCCTGCTTCTGCAACTGAACGGCTCTCACAGCTGGAAGAGGGAGAGCCTGTGTTCCCTGTGCCACCGTTGGACACCAGCGTGCTGGGCAAGACGCGTACTCCCTGGCCTGACTTGTCGGGAGGGCCCTGGGCCTGCTGCACACGCTCTCCTGGGAGTATGAGGCACACAAAGTCTGTGATCCCTGGGACAAGGACCCGTGTGTCCCCTCCGCTCCCTACCATCTTGGGGCTGGCAGAGCCCAGGAGTAATACCTCATGGTTCTTGTGGTCAGAAGCCTCTGACCTTGACAGTGACCTGGAGGTCAGACGAGGAAGGACGGGTCACGTGGGGTGTCCTCTGTGGATCCATTGTTATCTTGGTGCAGAAAATGCCCCGCAAACAAAACCCAAGGACAGAGGCAAACCCCCTGACCCCTGCTGGCACCCTGCCCCCTCCCCTGGTGACGTCCTGCCTCCTGGGAGAGCCGCCCCAGGGCTCCGCTGCCACGGTCCCGAGCGAATTCTGAAGTCAGCGGGGCAGAAGGGAGCGTATGGCTCGGTCAGATGCCGGCATCCCCTGTAGGAAAGCACAGCCTGCGGTCCACACACCTTGTATTTCTGCGCCTTGCCCAGCACGTTGGCCAAGGAGAACATGAGAGAGTGGTCGTTAGGGATTAGTTCCAGCGCCTCTCTTCCAACTGCTTCAGCTTGGGCTAAATTACCTGGGAGGAAAGAATGGAAAAGCGAAACACATGTAAAGGTCGCATCTGTGTCTTAGCCTCTCTGTAATCCATGGGCCTGTGTGTGTTTTACACAACAATTACGAGTGAAGTAGGAAACTCCACGTCGAGTGTGTAAGACACACACGGACACATGTGCCCACACAGGAGGCCTTACCAGTGGCAAAGCCGGTGCAACGTGGCACTCTCCTGACAAAACACACAACCAGCTGTGGATTAGATTCCGTAAAACCATATAAAACCTAGTTTACAGTTTTCCCCAGATACCAGTCCAAAGCAGAGGAAAACAGGTCTGCAAAATTAGTGCAGGAACACTTTCATTGCTGAGTACTTCTCATATGGAAACGTGTATTGCATACTTTCCTTAGAAACAAGCGGGGTGAGGGCAGGGGTTTGGGGCAGCAGTTAACGCATCCCTTATGGGAGTGCCCAAGTTCAAGTCCCGGCTCCTCTCCCCATTTCCTGCTTCTCGCTAACACACACCCTAGAGGCAGCACGGCTGTCTCTGGTAGTTGGGTCGCTGTCACTCGGGAAGATCCAGATTGAGGTCTGGGCTCCTGGTTTCAGCCTGGCCCTCCCACGGCTGTTACGGGCATTTGGGGAGTGAGCCAGCAGCAGACGAGAGCTCTGTGTGTCTGCTCAGGATGGAAGGGAAGGACGGACAAGGGAGGAGAGAGAAAGAGGGACAGAGGGAGGAACACCTGCTTGTTTGAAATTCTACCAAATTACCACCATCATTTCCTAAGAGACGCTGGATTTTCAGAATGAGTGGAGCCGAGTTACTCCTAACTGGCTGAGTCCAGTCTGTTATGGGCTGAGAAAGCAGATCCTCAAGTCCACTGGCATCACATCTCAAATAAGGGTCCACGGCTCTGCGTGGGGACTCGAGGCGTCTCCTGCGAACCTGGGGGCATGGACCTGGCACCGTCCCATTCTACTGTCTTCTGGGTGCCCCTGCGTCGTGGTGATGGCTGTGGCGAGAAGCCAGGTACACGCCCCCGCCTTCCAGGACTCAACACTTCTAAGTGTCACATCACTTCCCCACGCATTCGAGAAGCTGCGTTTTCCAGAATAACAGACATTTCTGTAATGTAAAATGCGAAAACCCTATATTTATTTATTTACTTTTAAAAATTTATTTATTTGAAAGGCAGAGTTACAAAGGGAGAGGGAGAGATAGAAGGAGAGAGATCTTCCATCTGCTGGTTCACTCCTCAAATGGCCACAACGGCCAGGGCTGGGCCAGACAGAAGGCAGAAGGCAGGAGCCAGGAGCTTCTTCCTGGTCTCCCACATGGGTTCAGGGGCCCAAGCAGTAACTACCCCTGCTTTTTTTTTTTTTTTTTTTAATTTTTGACAGGCAGAGTTAGACAGTGAAGAAAGAGAGGTCTTCCTTCCGCTAGTTCACCCCTCAATGGCCGCTGCGGCCAGCACTCCATGCTGATCCGAAGCCAGGAGTCAGGTACTTCTCCTGGGCTCCCATGCGGGTGCAGGGCCCAAGCACTTGGGACATCCTCCACTGCCTTCCCGGGCAACAGCAGAGAGCTGGACTGGAAGAGGAGCAACCGGGACAGAACCGGCGCCCCAAGTTGGACTAGAACCCAATGTGCTGGCGCCGCAGACAGAGGATTAGCCTAGTGAGCCACGGCGCCAGCCCCCTGCTTTTCCAGGTGCATCAGCAGGGAGCTGGATAGGAAACGGAGCGGCCAGGACAGGAACTGGTGCCTACATGCGATGCCGGGGTTGCAGGCGGTGGCTTTACCCAGTGCACCACAATGCCAGCCTCTCTTTATTTCTAAACTGGGGGTGGGGGAACATGATACTCCATGTCTCCTGAGGTCCTACAGTATGACACTGGGAACAGCTGTCTGTGGCTTGGTTAATCTCCTGTGGCACCTGTGCTGTCCAGGAGGATGATCATGTTGTTCCAGGCCAAGCTGTGCTCGGGCTTCAGCACGGTGGCGTTCCTCCAGGCATTCAGTGCGTCCACGTGACGATTGAGATCCGCGTACTGCAAACAAATGAGGGACAGGAAAACCAACATCGCAACTGTTTTGCTCGCTCTCTCAGAGGAATCACCAATAAGTAGATAAGCAATGAATGAACTCCCACCGCCACACCCCCTGGTTTTTACTGAGGGAGTTTCTAATTGGTTTATATCGTGTCAGTGAATCCTGGAAACAATGCCGATGGAGTAGATATTGTTATCGTCCCACTCTACAGAAGAAGCCACAAAGGACAGGGAAGGTAAGTCGCTTGCCCAGAGTCATTCATCTAGAACTGGTAGAGCTAGGAGCCGCAGCTATGGTAACCGCGAGCAGCTAATGGCCATTGCAGATGTGTGGTCACATTTCAGATGACCATCGCTGGGCACAGACTGCTCGCTGGTTTTCCCAGAAATTCTCAGGCCACTCCTCTTCGGTAAAGTGTCACCGAGAACAGGAAACGCAGCACTGTAGTCGATTCAAGGCTGTGAAGCAGGGTCCAGGAGCACCTCACCCTTGCCTGCACCTCAGCCTAACACAAGTGCACAGGTGCAGCTGAGACACCTGGGAAGTCACCCACGGTCATGTGCAGCCCCTTGGCCGCGCGGTGCCTGTCTGCCTCACTGAGGAAGGAGAGAATTACCTGGTGCTTTCTTGAGGTGGGAATTTGAACACTGGTAACAAGACAGCTGGCTCTCAACTGGCAGAGTTAATAGAAGCCACAGAGGAGAAAGTGCTGGGATGTGCAGCAGGTGCGCTTACCCTCATCTCCAGCTCGGTTCAAATGCACATTTCATCCGAATGCACTTGAGCCCCTCAACTGCAGAATGCACCAGTGATAAGTACCCATCACAGTCTTCCTGACTGTGAGAGGGTGCGTTTTTATCACCAATGAAATATTTCTGCTTGTTCTGAGACCCACACAGCAAACAGGTGCCACATTATGCAAGAAACAGATCTGATGCAATACGTTGCATTCACGAATCCCCATTTGCTAAAGACACGGTCAGACTTCCCATGAGACTCAAACTCAGGCAACGATGTTCAGTCCTTTGAATGAGGAACGGATGTGAAAAGCTCCCTAAGTGAAAGCAATCTGGGATGCATAAGTATGCTAACGTGTAATTATCTATATTTGATGTCCCAGGGATTTTTCAAGTCAGTTCTCTCTAGCAAGCGACATGCATTTGAGTCGCTTGGACAAGATCTGTCACGTCATTCTGGCACATCCGGGACAACCAACATGGCTGCGTTCATATAATGCGACAGAACCCTTGGTGCACTGTACTATTTCTTTTTTTATTTTTTTTTATTTTTTTAATTTTTTTGACAGGCAGAGTGGACAGTGAGAGAGAGAGACAGAGAGAAAGGTCTTCCTTTGCCGTTGGTTCACCCTCCAATGGCCGCCGCGGCCTGTGCGCTGCGGCCTGCGCACCGCGCTGATCCGATGGCAGGAGCCAGGAGCCAGGTGCTTTTTCCTGGTCTCCCATGGGGTGCAGGGCCCAAGCACCTGGGCCATCCTCCACTGCACTCCCTGGCCAGAGCAGAGAGCTGGCCTGGAAGAGGGGCAACCGGGACAGAATCCGGCGCCCCGACCGGGACTAGAACCCGGTGTGCCGGCGCCGCTAGGCGGAGGATTAGCCTAGGGAGCCGCGGCGCCGGCCTGTACTATTTCTTACGACCATCACTGCTGTTCATTGAAGAATGAAGACTGGACGGGTAGAATGTACTTCCACATGGGCTCCATCCCTACTCTCCTTAGGGCATCCACACAAGGTGAATGAACAACTTAGGGAAGCAGAGAACGGTATTTAACAGGGACCGCCGCCCAGGAGGGAGGTGAGAAACGTGCACCTGTTCACCCGTTCGTCCTAAGCCCCCCTTCTTCAGGCACCTGCCCGCCACGCCCGCCCTTCAGTGCTGGGTGCCACTGGTGCTGATGTCTGCAAACTGCACTTCCCAGGCTCCCAGGCCACCTGGCTCGTGGGAATCAGACCAGGGGACACTCTCTGGCCGGCTCCTTCCTTCCCCTGTCTCTCTCTGAAGTGGCCGTATCCCCCCACAACCCCCGCAGTCCCCGGCTGGAAGGAGAAGCCCCTCCTGCCTCCCTGATGCCAGCTCCTGGGACGGCGCCCCGTTCTGTGATCCCAACACTAGCAGCATCTCGTCCTCCCATCCGTTCCCCCACACCTACGGAGTCTCCTCTAGCTGAGAACCTCCGAGCCACATTTTTGCTCTTCCAGTCTCCTGACAAGTAAGCAATTCCCTCTGTTAAATCTTCTCTATTTGAGGCAGTGTGGTCTGTTTCCTGGAAGGCATCTGGCCTGGAACAAGCAGTCCCGGCATCATGAACTGTCCCCAGGAAAACATCCAGACGCCATAGCCGTCCCTCTCCGCGTCCACTAAGACATCCTGAATGATCCAGCTCTCCCGAATTCCTATCCTACGGGGGAATTAATCACATTATCATCTTTTCTTATCAGGCCCAGAAATCAAAGAAACCTTTAAGTTTTTAAATTCCTCTGATTTGCCAATATATACACGGGTTCTTTGAGCTGTTACAGTTCAAGCCCCTAATGCTTTTAAGCTGTCCGGTGGGCATGAGGTGGGTAATTAAACCACAGAGAGCAGACGTCCAAATTAAGCAGAACAGTGGCTGGAAAGGAACATGGGAAGACCATCTCACGGCAGCGCAATCAGTTAACAGTACCGACGAAAGCGATCGAGGGCTCAGTCTGTTCAACATTACAGACTTGGATGCTATTCCAAGTCACACAAAACCCAAGGAGACTGCATGACAGAAGCCAGCAGGGGGTTAAGCTGAGGCCTGCACTGCCAGCATCCCATACAGGTGCTGGTTCAGGTCTCAGCTGCTCCACTTCTAATCTAGCTCCCTGCTAATGCGCCTGGGAAAACAGCAGAAGATGAGTTCTTGGGACCCTGTATTCACATGGGAGACCCTTCTGAAGCTCCTGGTTCCTGATCTCAGCCTGGCCTAGCCCCGGTCTTTGTGGCCATTTGGGGAACAGACCAGTGGATGAAAGATCTCTGTGTCTCTCTCTTTCCCTCTCTCTCTGCATTTCAAATAAATAAATAAAATTTTTTAAATAAGCCAGTATTTTATATTTTTTCTTTCTTTGGCTGTATCTCTTATAGAAGGCTCATTCAGCATAAATTCTTTATTTTTCAAATCCTAAGAAACTGCAGTGACAGTCGACTACTAGGGGAGGCAAGAAACCCGCTAAGCAGTCGAGCTTTTAGGTGTAACCTTAGAAGCTGCAGAAAGAGTTACCCACTTTGTAAGCAATAACCTAAGTGTTACCTCCAAAACAGAAAAAAGGAACGAAAGAAGAACTCCTATGGCTATCCAGTGCAGCGTGTTCCTCAAGCCCTGGTTAGCAGACACTACACAGGAACAGTAACCCCTCCACGCGCATATTCATAACACACTCCGCATCGATTGGATAGTGCCCCAGCGGCTCCTACCTGCACCCAGTCCTTTTTCTCACTTCATTAGCCTAGGGGGATCGACCTTGCTTGGGATACAGTTATGTTTACCTGCATCAGCACGGTGAGGTTTTACTGCCCCCACGTTGCCTGAGAGCTTATCGCTACAATAGCCTGAGCACTCCTCCCAACTTCAGCAAAAGCCGTTTCCACACCAAGCACGTACCCTGATAAATAAGTGCAGGTACTATCTTCTTCACAGTGCCTACATCGATTGGAGAGCACAGAATTGGGAAACGTAAAAAAAAAAAAAAAACAAAACCAGAAACGCACTCAGGGTCAAGTGGGTCCGGGAGCTGATGCTGGATGACAGGATATCGTGGCATCCGTCTCCCTCGTTCAAACATCTTCCTGCCACGGGCTCAGTCTCATTACCGCCCAGGAGGAAGTAATTCCTCTTGCCCACTTTGGAGCAAGCTTGCAGAGATGTCATTTCCCCGTGCCACCTCATACCGCATATTTTCCACTTGTTTGAATAATAAAAAAAAAGTACAAGCCAACTCGCTATATAAAATTCCTGACACAAGCATTATCGGCCCCCCGACAGTGACTCAGGCAGAGTGGGAAAGCTCAGACTTTACTGTGACCTCGCTCTAGGTGCCTCACTTCTGTTTCCCACTCATCAAATCCCATCTCCACCTCTCACAAAACCATGGCTGCCCAGTCCAGAAACAGACACCAAGGCCAAAGACAACTCACATCACAGTGAAAACTGAAGCCCAGTTTTCCAATGAATGTAAAGCGACTAACGCGTTCTGGGTTGCTCTCCCCACGTAGTCCTTTCTGTTCTGGAACGATCAGTCTGTCGGGGAGCTGCTCAGGGGCAGGGCCAACCACACGGTACCGTTCTCACCTGCAGGCTCTGCTGTTAGTTTTTACAATGTAGGCTCTCTACGGAGCGCTGGATTCCCTAACTCAAATGGGATGGGAGATGTACAAGCAGTTTTGGGAATTATGGGTTCCAATAATGCAAAGACTCCAGAAAGCCAAGAAGCTTCAGGTCTTTAAAATGAAAACAAACAGGCATTGCGTTAGCACCCTGGGACGTGGTCCTGCCGGTGGGGCTCAGCTGGAAACATCTGGAAAACTATACATGAGTTTCCTTAAAGAGCTACATCAGTGTGCAACATGTTCCAATTTGGTTAAAACACACAAAACGTTTTTACTGTAACAGTTTTATCTCATAAATCTAAACATACTAGGAACATGCATATCTGGTTTCTTAGAACCACATCAAAGGGTTGAATGAGGGGAGAATATAATCTTTCTTATTTAAAGAATTTTGCCATTCGTGTCTCATTTTTTTTTGTCAAGAAAACAAGATCAATAGGACATTTAAGACTATCATGGGACATATTCTATTTTAAGATTTATTTATCTTATTTGAAAGGTAGAGTTAGAGAGAGGGAGAGGCAGAGACAGAGAGAGAGAGAGAGAGATCTTTCATTCACTGGTTCACTTCCCGGAGCTGGGCCAGACCAAAGCCAGGAGCATGGAACTCTAACTGGGTCTGTCACATGGGTGGCAGAGGCCAAAGCAGTGCTTTCCCAGGCTCACTGGCAGGGAGCTGGATCAGAAGTGGAGCAGCTGGGACTTGACCCGGTGCCCAAACGGGATGCTGCACTGCAGGTGGAGGCTTAACCTGCTACACCACAGTGCCGGCTCAGGACACATTCATTCTGATTTCCATCAAATAGCTTCAAAAGCCTTTCGAATAACTCCCACGCCCTCTGAAGCTGTCTCTTTTGGGAGAAACTGCCCCGCAGATGAAGAAGATCTCCCTCAAGGACACAGAGCAGGAAGCTCAGAAATCCCAGGCGTGTGCTTTTCAAATCTCGGTTTTTACTCAAGTCGTGCTTGAGCCAGAGAATGGATGTTTATCAGAAGTTAGCCCTTGGAGGACTGCTTTACAGGGAATAAGCAATTTAAGGTGTTTCAGCAGCAGGTGTTGGCTGAGCTAGTGGGATGCCGGCTAAGATGCCTACCTCCCATATCTAAGTGCCTGGGTTCAACTCCCAGCTCTGGTTCTTGACGCCAGCTTCCTGGTGACCCCGGAAGCAGTGCTGAGGGCTCACGTGACAGCGTCCCTGCCACCCACTCAGGAGACCTGCATTGAGTTTCCAGGTTCCCGCTTCAGCCATGGCCCAGCCCCAGCCATCGTGGGCATCTGCAGAACGAACCAGTGGATGGCAGCTCACCCTTGTCTATTTGCCCATATCTCTGCCTCTCACATAAACAGCTAACAATTTTAAAAAAGAAAAATAATTTACTTATTCTTTAGTTCAAGCTATTGCCTTGGTGATCTCTGAAACCTGATCAATTCGAGCTGGACTGCTCCCTAATTGGAGCTTAAAATAACATAAGGAGATGAAGCAGCTACCTGCAAGTGAGATAAATGGGAGAGGTCTTCAAAGAGTTCACGGGAAAATGCTTGCTATGAAAAAATATGCATGGATTTCAAAGGTTTTTTTTGCACTGAAACAAAGCTACTGTTTAATTCCATTCTCCCACACATTTCAGAGAGTATTTCCATACGTGTGAAAGAACATGCCGGATGGGTGTTGCTACTGTGATTTCATTACCATGAGGGAAAAACTCAGCCTTCTCTGCTGTAGACCCAGGCCTCCGTGAGCTTACCAGGCGCCCGAGGTTGTAGTAACAGTCTGGGTACTTCCTTCTGTGTTTAATTGCTGTCCGGTAACTCTGTTCGGCAGCTTCGAACCGTTTCAGGCTGTTCTGTACGATGCCCAAGTTCATCCACGCGGCAGCAAAGTCTGGCCTAGAAGAGCATTTTTTTTTTAAATATATATAAACAAGACAGAGTCCGACGGAGATGCTGGCACAAAGAGGCCAGCTGTCACCGGCACGGGTAGCAAGACAACGCTTACTGTATCTGCACGGCCAAGGACAGCAGCTCCTCAGCTTCCTGGAGCTCATTCCTTTCTTTCAAGATATTTCCAAGATTATTCATGGCGTGAACATACTTGGGGTTTAACCTGCAAGTTGAAAGAGAATCCAAGCCAACTGTTACTGCTCATAAGTTCCTACTAAACTTTTAAGGACCTGGTTAAGGTATCTCAAAGCTGGGGTCTTCAAGGGGACAGGGGAATACAAGAGGTGCATGTACATGGTATGTGCTCTGGGACACCGGTGCGCAGTACCTGACAGCTTCCCGGTAATATCTGATAGCAGCAGTTTGGTTGCCTTTGTCGGCCAGGTTTTTGCCAATATTGTAGTGAACCTGCAAATAGAGGTGATAGTTTGAAGGATACACCTGGATGACAAGGGATTCTTTCTCGAGAGCCAGGGCATCTGTTATATTTTCTAACTGAAGACCAAAAAAAGTGAAAGGATTTAAAAACAAAAAAGCCACCCACCAGAACTTGGGCTACAAGCCTCTAGGGGCTAGGCTGGGGGCTGGCTTGTGCTTTAATTCCCTACCCTGCAAAGAAAAAGTTTAGAAGAAAAGGAAGTAAGGAACACAGCACATCACTACAGTTCCAGAGAAGGAGAAAGAACTAAAGACCTGACCAGAAAACGCCAGAACATCACGAAGCCAGGCTCATCCTACTATGAACCCCTCAAATCCCCCTCCTCTCCCACACACCCTAGTAGAGCTGGTTCACAAAGCCCAGCCACAGGTGCACAGGAGAGGAACAGCGACTCTGTGCCCTTTCATGTGCGACACGGCTCTTCTGCTGCTATACAAGCCTTTCGCCTCATACGCGTAGTGGTGGAGAGTTTACGTCCCTCCCAAAGCCTGAAGTGGAAATGCCAAATGCTAATGTGCCTTCGGGAGGTGATTCCATCATGAGGGTGAAACCCAGGTGAACGTCATCAGTGCCCTTAAGGAAATCTCCCAGGGGCCGGCACTACGATGTAGCGGGCTAAGCTACTGCCTGCAATGCCAGCATCCCACATGGGCACCAGTTCCAATCCCGGCTGCTCCACTTCTAATCCAGCTCCCTGCTGTGGCCTGGGAAAGCAGTGGAAGATGGCCCAAGTGCTTGGGCCCCTGCACCCACGTGGGAGACCTGGAAGAAGCTCCTGGCTCTGGATTGGCCCTGCTCCAGCCAGCCTGGTCATCTGGGGAGTGAACCAGCAGATGGAAGATCTCTCTCTCCTTCTGCCTCTCTGTATCTCTGCCTTTCAAATAAACAGCTGGCACCTGTGACGCAGGAAGAGGTCCTGAACAGACTCCCACTCTGCTGCTGCTTTCCTCTCGCACTTCCCAGCCTGGCAACTGTGAGAAGCCAACGTGCGCGGTGTCAGCTTCCGCTAGAGCAGCCTGATCCAAGACAGCACCTCACAAAACCCATCCTGCCATCCCCTGGGGAACCACAGACACGAGGCCCCATACGGCAGCTGGAGACCCCGTGGGGAGTGGATGCCACTGGGCCTCTGCCTTGCGGAGCCCCTGGCTGTCGATCACACGGCCACAGCAGTGTCACACAAAGGGCTCGGAGGCTTCACAGGGCAGGTGCATCGTGAGGGTGGGGCCCCGTTCCAGGGAGGCAGGGAGAGCTGTCCTGAGGAAGGGAACCAGCTGAGATCCAAAGGGGCAACCAGGCAGAGGGGTGCAGGAGGCAGCAGGCGCAGGCTCCAGGGCTGGGAGGACGCGGGTGTCTAGGCCAGAAGCTCAGCATTGCTAGGGGGCCCAGGGTGAGGACATGATCTGGAGAGCCCAGCAGGAGCCCAGCAGAGGCCAGTGCAGGGTCTGACGGGGAGGCCCCTGCAGCAGTGCAAGCAGAGCAGGGCAGCTGCCCACGCTCAGAGAAGCGAGCAGGAGACGGCAACGTGGCAGGCAGGGAGGGAGGTGCCACAGAGGGCTGCGATCACCCAGCCAGCCAGCCAGCCAGCGAGCAGGGGAGAGGCTCCAGAAAACCTCCTCCTCCTACACCCCCGGGGCCTGGAGTGGAAAGGCCCAACACGGAACACAGTGATGAAAGATGCACCTGTTCTAGACGTAGGTGCGGCGGCATTGAAGCCGAGAATGAACTCAATGCAAGCGACCTGTTTGTTTTAAGTGGTTTACTTTTTTTTAATTTTTAATTTTTATTTTTTAATTTTTTATTTTTTGACAGGCAGAGTGGATAGTGAGAGAGAGAGAGACAGAGAGAAAGGTCTTCCTTTTACCGTTGGTTCACCCTCCAATGGCCACTGCGGCTGGTGCACCGCGCCGATCCAATGGCAGGAGCCAGGTACTTATCCTGGTCTCCCATGGGGTACAGGGCCCAAGCGCTTGGGCCATCCTCCACTGCACTCCCAGGCCACAGCAGAGAGCTGGCCTGGAAGAGGGGCAACCGGGACAGAATCCGGCGCCCCGACCGGGACTAGGACCCGGTGTACCGGCGCCGCAAGGCAGAGGATTAGCCTAGTGAGCCACAGCACCGGCCGTGTTTGAAATCCAATTTTATTATAAATTTTTTTTTTTAATTTGAGAGGCAGTGTGTTGGGGAGGGAGCAGTGAGAGAGACAGACAGACAGGGCTCCCATCTGCTGGTTCACTCCCCAGATGCCTGCAGTGGCCCAGGCTGAAGCTGGGATTCAGGAGCTCAACCCAGGTCTTTCAAGTGAGTTGCAGGAAGCCACGCACTCGAGTGACGGCCGCTGCCTCCCATGATCTGCATTAGCGGGAAGCTGGAGTCGGGAACCAGAGGTGGGAACCAAACCCAGGCAACTCCAACAGGAGACCCAGGCGTGTTAACCACCAGGCTGAACGCCTGGACCCTAGCCGAGGACTGTCGGCACCTGAAGGGACTGACTGGCAGAAACAGGGCTCACGGCTGCAAGCCTACAACTTCAGATCATCTTAGAAGTGAGGGTGGCGAACATGAGGCATTTCCCAATTCGACACAGATCTAGGACAAATGACAAAGAAAGGAGCTGGAACCCCAAGTAGGACCAAGGTGGCACATGAGGACAACTATCAAAATATTTGCTTTTGGGACCACACACGAGTGCCGACAGCAATGTCAGAGGAGATGGTGCCAGGGTGATCAACAACAGCAACGGAACTGCCGGCAGCTGGTCCACGCCAAGCGCCGCCCACAAGCCAGGGGCAGCGCGGCGCTCCCCAGACCAGCAGAGGGGACAAGGCTGCCACTCCCCTCCCTGCTGCTTCAGCACGGGAGTGCATCTCATCTGAGGCTGTGAGGCTACACCTGCGCTCCGGCTCCAGACCTTGCTTCTGCTGAGTCACACCTGCTACTGGGTGCTGCCCGCTCAAACGCTCTGGCTCCAGACCTTGCTTCTGCTGAGTCACACCCGCTACTGGGTGCTGCCCATCAAAGCCATATTTAGATTCACTGATAACCGTATGTTTTTCTATTTTATTTGTTAATTTGAAAGGCAAAGTCAGGGGTGGGGAGCTGGTTCACTCCCCAGATGGCCTCAACAGCCAGCGCTGGCTCAGGCCGAAGTCAGGAGCTTCGTCTGGGTCTTCCTTGTGGGTGCAGGGACCCAAGCACTTAGGCCGTCTTCCTCTGCTTTCTCAGACATATTTTTTTAAAAGATTTATTTCATTTATTTGAAAGTCAGAATTACACAGAGAGAGGAGAGGCAGAAACAGAGGTCTTCCATCTGCTGGTTCACTCTCCAATTGGCCGCAATGGCTGGAGTTGTACCAATCTAAAGTCAGGAGCCAAAAGCTTCTTCCGGGTCTGCCATGCGAGTGCAGGGGCCCAAGGACTTGGACCATCTTCTACTGCTTTCCCAGGCCATTAGCAGAGAGCTGGATCAGAAGTGGAGCAGCTAGAACTTGAACCAGCACCCATATGGGATGCCAGCACTGTAGGTGGCGGCTTTACCCACTATGCCACAGCGTTGGCCCCTCTCAGACGTATTATCAGGGGGCTCTATCAGAAATGGAGCAGCCGGCATAGAAACCGGTGCCCATATGGGATGCTGGCATCACAGGCAACAGCTTTACCTGCTACACCATAGCGCCAGCCTTGCTTTTTTCTCAAAGTAAAACAACGTCTCAGACTGTGCGGTATCCCCTCAGGTTCATATGTTGAGCCTCTAGTACTTCAGAATAGGTCTTTAAAGGGAAAATAAGGTCCCGAGGGTGGGCCCCAGTCCCGTGTGACTGGCATCCTTGTAAGAAAGGGAAACCTGGGGAGCTAGGGTTTAGCCTCATGGCTAAGAAACCTGCACCCCCCAAAAGAGAGCATACGTTTGATTCCTGGCTCCAGCTCCTGACTCCTGCTTCCTGCTAATGCAGCCCCCAAGAGGCAGGTGATGGCTCAGGTAATTGGGTTCCTGCCACCCAACTAGGGGAACCTGGACTGAGTTCCTACTTCCTGGCTTGGCTGCAGGCACCTGGGGGGAACCAGCAGATAGAAGCTCTCTTTGTCTGTCTGTCTCTGTCTCTCAAACGACAACACAAAAGAGGAGGAAATCTGGACACACAGAGAGATGCCAAGGAAGTGTGCGCATGAAGGAAGACCAGATTTTAGAAAGTCAATTATTTATTTTATGAAAGGCAAACAGAGCTCTCCCTCTACTGATTCACTCCCCCAGATGTCTGCAACAGCTGGGGCCAGGCCAGGCTGAAGACAGGAATTTGGCAGGCACTAAGTACTTGAACCATCACCTGCCACCTCCCAAGGCACACACTAGAAAGTGGACTTGGACTTGGACGTGGAGCTGGACCAAGGACCATGCACCCCTACAGGGCATGTTGGTGTCCTACGTGGTGTCTTAACTGGCCTAACGCTCACAACAGAGGTTCCTTTGAAAGCATCAATTTAGAAGTAAATGGGTAGGGCAAGCTCTGTAGCACAATGGGTCAAGGCTGCTGCTTGGGGTGCCTATTCATCAGAGTGCCAGCTGGAGTCCTGCCTCTGCTTCCAATCCAGCTTCCCGCTAAGGTTCACCCTGGGAGGTAGCAGGTGGTGACATCAAGTATTTGGTTTCCTGCCACCCATACGGGGGACCCAGATAGAGTTCTTGTCTCCTGCTTCTGTCTGGCCCAGCCTAGCCTGTTGCAGCCATCTAGGGAGTGAGACACTGATGGAAGAATTGTCTCTCTCTGTTGCTCTCTCAAATAAATGAAAATTAACTTAAAAAAAAAAAAAAAAAACAAAAAACTAGAGGGAGGATGGAAGTGAGCAAAGAAGGGTAGGATACAAAGTATCAAAATGCTCTTAAGGGTCTGGCACTGTGGCATAAGGGGTAAAGCCATGGTCTCCAGTGCCCACATTCCATATGGACACCGGTTAGAGATCTGGCTGCTCC